TAACAGGCCCCAAGGTTGAAAGCCATTGCACTCCTAGAACCATGTCAGCCCCCTTTAATTCGATGACATATAAATCAAGGGCGAATAGATGGGATTGCAAGTCTACTGTGATGGCTTTACAAGCTGCTGAACAAGTGAGTGCATCCCCATTGCCAACTTGAACGTTGAATGGTTTGATGACATGCAAAGTGAGCCGAAGGTGAGTAGCCATACGTAGGGTGATAAAATTATGGGTACTACCCCCATCCACCAAAATTTGCACTTGTTGTCCCCCTATTTTTCCCTGTAAACGAAATGCATTAGCAGAATGGTGTCCAAACAAGGCATTAAAACTAATTTCATGAGGAGTGTCCAGATGGGGAGGATCAGGTATATCCTCCATTGGTTCCAACTGCGGTTCTGTAGTACTGTCAGGTGGATCATCATCTGTTCCTTCCAAGTATAAAAGGGTTGCACGACCCTTACATCGGTGACCCGCGACAAAACGCTCGTCACAATTATAGCACAGATTCTTCGCCCCGCGTGCTGCCATTTCAGCAGGGGAAAGTCTTTTGATAGGGATAGATGGTAGGCTTAATGGTGGTTTAGGGTTACTAGGTGGAAATATTGTGGTGAGAGGCTGGGCTGGAATGGGCTGAGTGGAGTTGGATGTACGTGGAATCCAGGGTTTGGAGGGTCGTGTTTCAGCAAACTGTTCCTCATAGATTTTAGCAAAAGCAAAGGCAGTAGTGATATCAGTTGGTCGGTGAACTAGGACAGCTCTCCTAATGTGTGGTTTCAACCCGGAGATGAAAAGGCTTTTGCGAGTTGATGGTGTTAATTCGGGAATTCTGCGTGCAAGGAGTTCAAAAGCTGATTGAAAATCAACCACTGATCCCGATTGCTGCAATTTGGCTAAGGAGCCCAATAGGTCTTCAAATTCTGATGGTCCAAAACGCTGATGCAGCGCATTGACAAAAGAGTTCCAATCGGGAAAATGGCCATGACCGAAGCAAGCTTCGAACCAGCAGGATGCAGGTAAGTCCAAATTAAAAGAAACTAAATCAAGTCTATCCATATCAGGTACCTGATGATAACGAAAATACCTCTCTACAGCAAATAACCAAGGGCCCGGATCTCCAGAACTGAATCTTGGAAAATCAATTTTCATGGAACTTAAGTGTGAAGTTTGACGCGTGGGGCCAGCGCCTAACACTCCCTGCTGAGGAATGGAACCCATATTGGTGAGTTGAACTTGCATTGTTTGTAAGAGGGCAAACATATCCTGGATCTGATGGTTAATACCATCCATTCGTTGAGTCTGTTCGTTAATTCTGTGAGTCTGTTCGGTGAACTGTTGGTTGTGGGTTAGCTCAAACGTTTCTAGTCGATGGTCTAAGGTCCGTTCCAAGGTGAGGAACTGTTGATCATGAGATTGAACCTGGTGAGTAAGGTCCCTTAATCTAGTATTTTCAGCCATATCTTTCAATGGAGGCACCAATGTAACAGGAAACAGAGATCAGAAAGATAAGAATTAGGGTAAGAGAAGAGACGAAGGAAGAGAGAAGAGAATTATCTGAATATTGCTACTCTTTTACTAAGCCCCAGTAGGCTATATATACGCAAGTCTGTTACATGTATTGTAATTTGAAATGATGCATAATAAAAGAAGACATTATAACTATTGATTTAAGATCCAATACTTATTCAGCCCAATATGAAATCATTGTAATGAGCTGGCTTCTTTATGATCCTTTTAGTAGCCCTTTTAGTAGATGAGCCCGTAACATTATTCTCCTCTTCATTGTAATGGGCTGGCTTCTTTATGATCCTTTTAGTAGCCCTTTTAGTAGATGAGCCCGTAACAGGCTAATTATGAATGTTGCAAGAGAAATAATTTTCCCTTTTTTATATATAAAATATGCTTTTTTTATTTTAACATCAAAATAATTTTTTACTTTTAAATATTATTTTTAATATTTTATATTCCAATGCAACATTACGTATGACTTTCTCTAACTTTCGAAAAAAATACATTATTAAAAAAGGAATGCAGAAAAAATATTTGTTTTTTCAAAAACTCATCCAAATTGAAAATATTTAAATTCAATTACTTATCCAATTTCAATTTCGAAGAAAGTGATTAACTTAACTTAAATTATTATAATTTAACTATGAATTTAGCATAAGGTTAGCATATTAGTATGTATAATAATAAGCAATATCCAAATGCAGTAATGTAGAAGGAATATGATGCACCATAAATTGCTCTGAATTTGATCATTATAAATACCCTAGCCATTGTTTCTGCAATTCGATTTGCTATAAATGCGATTGATTACGCGGTGTACCATTTATTGCTAACTTTATCCTAAAAAATTAACTGGTGTATTGAATGTGTTCAAACAGGTCATGATTTCTTGTACCAAAAGAATAAGTTAAAAAAAAAAGGTTTGTTTTTGTTACTTTAGATAATTTTATCTAATGTTTATCAAAACGACGTCGTTTTGAGACAGAAATCATAGTATTTTTGTAATTTTAATTTATCTCAGGATTATAATAGTCTTTATCACTCTAATTTTTTAATTTTTCAACCCCAAAACGACGTCGTTTCGATGAACATTAGATAAAGTTATCTAAAGTAACATCGGAAACTTTTTTCAAAAAAAAAATAAAAGAAAGAGAAGAAGTCTCATATAGAGCATGAAATTGATAATCACATTAAACTTCTTATTTTTGCTTGAGAAGTATGAATGAGTTAGAAATGAGTTTTTGGCTCAGACATGAAGTATATAAAAACAAATGAAGTATTAATACTAAAAAAAAAAACAAATGAAGTATATATTATTTAAGCTTTATTTTAATATATTTCAACAATAAGTTCTTATTTAAATTTTTATAAGATGTAAATTTATATATAAGGAATAGTTTTTTCCAAAATTAAAAATTAAAAAAAGAAAGATCAAATGAATTATGGAACTGATTAGATTTTCTGAATAAAATTATGTTTAAGCAACTAATTTTATTATTTACTGTATATTCATCATATTTTATATTGAGTTTGATATTTCTCATTTGTAGAAAATAATTTTATCTTCTACACACATAAAAGTGTATGAAACTTATCTGAGGCTATGTGAAAAGATAGAGAGAAAAATAAAATATTGACCCTCACATATTTTTATGTGTGTAAGAGATATTTTATCGTCTATAATATGATAGATATTAAACCCTTTTATATTATATGGTAAATCATACGGATATTAATCTAGTATAATATAAAAGGGTGGGTTAACTGCAAAGTCATTAACTATTTGTTTAACCGAATTAACTAAACCGATACTAAAACTTGTATAAAATTCTTACGGTCCGATTAATTTGCTTAAAAATAAAGTATCGGACAGAATATAATTATTTATTTAACGTTTTATATTACAAAAAATCATGAGACATTATAAAACTAAGGGTGAAGTATTGCACAAAAATGAAAATATTTTTCTCGGGCCAAAACTTGGAATAACTTTCTATTCAACAACACACACCATACAAAACTAAAATTATCCCTGCAACATCACCCTAGCACCTAATCCTCAGGTTTAGAAAGAGAAACCAAAGAGCAGGTTGACAAAAACAAAATAAAATAATTTTAGAGCAAGGTTAATAATATATATATATATATGAGAAAAGTGTTTCTCATTTTAAATGACATAAAGTTGTGTCATTTTAAGAGAGAGATAGACACAGAATTTTTTTTAAATTTTAAATTAAAAAAAATCACCCACTTTCTCTCTTCCATGATTTCTATTTTTCTGTGTCTATCTCTCTCTTAAAATGATATAAGTTATGTCATTTAAAATGACAAACACCAAATCCTATATATATGATTAAATAACTTTGATAAAGCTATTTTTCATGAAAATATTAAATGTAAAATATAAATTTATGTTGTTAGCATAAAAATATTTAATTTAATTATGACTTGTGATATTATTGAAATAATTTACATATGAAAATAGTTGTTTAGAAATTAATCGTGTTAAATAACATAACAAATGATAAATCCTATGTAGAATCTTCATATTTTTTTTAAAAAATTAATAACATATTTTGGGGAAGGTTATATTTACAACCTATTTTCGTTTACAATTTCTTACGATCATATCTTAACCGTTGATTTCCGTCAATTAACGGTTAAGATTTTCGCAAGTCAAATTTATTAATTAATTATTAATTCACAATAAATAATAACCGTTGATTGACGGAAATCAACGGTTATGATATGGTTGTAAGAGTTTGTAAACTATTTGGGTTGTAAATATAACCCCTCCCACTTACTTTTTGACACACTTTTTTAATACATTTTTCATTATTAGATAAATTTTTTATGAATTTATTAAATAATTATATGCACTAGTGTGATCTACCTAAAATTTATCCAATAATAAAAAATATTAAAAAAAATATGTGAAAGAGTGTGTTATTATCCTTAATCTAATTTTTATTCCTAAGAAGGTTTCACAATACTCTTTTTAGTGAAATATTAAAAAAAGTTTAAAGCGTCAGGCGCGGATTTGGCCATTGATTGATTATTATTTTACGAAATTAAATATATAATAACAACAAAAAGTCAAAAACAAGGAAACATTCACATGTGATTCGAGCATGAAGATAAAGAAGAAAGAGCGTTAGGTTCAAGAAAAGAGCACCAATGCAATTTTTCTTTTTTCTGAAAAATAAATTTAATTAACAAAATAAATACATTTATTTATTTGTGGGAAAATATACCTTAATATTATTGGAGAGTATTTTTTCTTTCTTTTATATATATATATATATTTCTGTGCTTTTTTTTTATAAGTAGCTGAATCCTACACATGACTGTATTAATAAAGGCAAAGCTGTATCCAAAAATAAAATAAAATAAAGGCAAAGCCCTTTATTTATTTCCGGTAATCAAAGAAAGAAATAGAGACAAAGACAAATGTTACCGTTTTCGCTCCAAATGAGACTTATCTCTTCAACGTTATTTGCTGTCTTTGTCTTTCCCTTGTCTCTCTCTCAGTACACTCACCCCCGTTCAACCTCGCCGGAGCTTCATTTTCCGGCTAAAACGTCACCGACGGCGAGATCTGAGCGGCACCCAGATTTTGGTACCATGGTTAACCCACAAAGTTTGTGTCTTTGAGAAAACCCAAAGTCATTTTCACACACGCTCTCTCTATACTTTCTCTCTCTGAAACATGGGTCTTGGTCTTCTTCCATTGCTTCTCTTTCACCTTTTGGTGTTTTTCTTCACTACCCATCACGCAAATGCCCTCAATGCTTCGTTTGCAAGCGACGCATTGTCCCTTCTTAGTTTCAAACGCTTAGTCTCTTCGGACCCTTCGAACCTTCTCGCCGGATGGACCAATCGCTCTTCTTCTAGTCTCTGCCGCTGGCACGGCGTCGCTTGCGGCGGCGGAAGCCTCTCCGGCGGAGTAACCGCCCTGAACTTGACCGGTCTTCAAGGCGGTGAATTGGCTCCTTCTGTCGGAGACTTGTCAGAGCTTCGTGTCCTGTCCATTCCCGGCAACATGTTTTCCGGCGAGATTCCGGCGAGCTTAGGGAGGCTCCGGGTTCTCGAGGTTCTTGAGCTACAAGGGAACAACTTTTCTGGGAGAGTCCCTAGTCAGATGAGTTATCTTCAATCTCTTAACCTTGTTAACCTCTCTGGCAATGCTTTATCTGGTTCCATACCCCGTGAGTTTATTGGCTCTGGGAATGTAAAAATCGTTGATTTATCGAATAATCAGTTTTCTGGTAAGATTGTAGTGGATGGTTTGGGTGGTTGTGATTCCTTGAACCATTTGAAGCTGTCCCACAACTTTCTGACTGGTGAGGTTCCACCACAGATTGGGAAATGTAGAAACTTGAGGACCCTTTTGGTTGATGGGAATATCTTGGAAGGTAGAATCCCTCCTGAGATTGGTTATGCTGTTGAACTTAGAGTTCTAGATGTTTCTAGAAATAGCTTGACTGGAAGGATCCCCAAAGAGCTTGCCAATTGTTTGAAATTGTCTGTGCTTGTGCTGACTGATTTGTTTGATGATCGCGGGGTTGATGAGGGAAGCTTGGAGGATAGCTTTAGAGGAGAGTTCAATGCCTTTGTTGGGAATATTCCTCATGAAGTATTGTTGCTTTCGAGCTTGCAGGTTCTGTGGGCACCAAGAGCGAATCTTGGCGGAAGGTTGCCTAGTGGCTGGACAGATTCATGCTCTCTGAGAGTACTAAATTTGGCACAGAATTATGTTACTGGTGTCATGCCTGAAAGTTTGGGGAGGTGTAGAAATTTAACTTTCTTGGATTTGAGTTCTAACAATTTAGTGGGATATTTGCCTTCGCAGCAGCTTCAGGTTCCTTGTATGATGTACTTCAATGTTAGTAGGAATAATATATCGGGCATACTTCCAAGATTTCGGAACGAAAGCTGTCCTGCGAGTAGCATCTCTGCCCCTCCAGACCCTGCATTCCTAGAATTGGAAGGTATTAATGATGCATACTTCAATTTTCCTGTTTGGAGGTTTCAGCAGAATGCACTCGTTGGATCAGGTTTTGAAGAAACTAATGTTGTTAGGCATGATTTCAGTTGGAACAGTTTTGTGGGATCCTTACCTTTGTTCTCTCTTGAAGGTAATCTTTTTACTGCAGACCGCAAAGTCTCCTACATGCTGTTTCTCAATAATAATATGTTCAATGGAACTCTACCATACCAACTGGTTTCAAACTGTAATGACCTCAAAACATTGTCAGTTAACTTGAGTGTGAACCAACTATCCAGTGGGAATTCCCAGGCATTGTTTCTGGACTGTCTGCAGTTGACAGATTTTGAAGCAGCATACAACCAGATTGGAGGGTCAATTGGACCTGGTATAGGTGACTACACGATGCTTCGGCGTCTTGATTTAAGTGGAAACAAACTATCTGGATCCCTGCCTGATCAGTTGGGAAACCTGAAAAACATAAAATGGATGCTTCTAGGTGGGAACAATCTAACTGGGGAAATTCCTTCCCGACTTGGTCAATTGACTTCCCTTGCTGTCTTGAATCTGTCTCACAATACTCTAATTGGAACAATCCCTGCGAGTTTGTCGAATGCCACAAGTCTTGAAATTCTTTTGCTAAATCACAACAACCTTTTTGGGGAAATACCTTTATCTATTTCTGCTCTTTCCAATCTTGTTCAAATAGATGTTTCTTTCAACAATCTTTCTGGTCATATTCCTTATCTTCAACACCCAAGTGATTGTGATTCCTATAAAGGGAATAAACATCTGCACTCTTGCCCTGATCCGTACTCTGACTCACCTGCTTCTCTTCCAGTCCCTCTTGAAGTCCAAAATTTGCGTAGGCACAGAAAATTAAGTACATTAGTCATTGTGGTGGTCACTTCTGCTTCTGTGGCTCTCTGCATACTTTTGGGATTAGTATTGCTGATCTTTTTTGGAAGGAGTAAATTTGGTCGGCTTAGCAGTATTAGAAGGCGACAGGTAGTGACTTTTCAAGATGTTCCAATAGAATTGAGTTATGACAGTGTGGTCACAGCTACCGGAAATTTCAGCATCCGGTATCTAATTGGCAGAGGTGGCTTTGGCTCAACTTACAAGGCAGAACTTTCTTCAGGTTTTCTTGTTGCCATCAAGAGGTTGTCCATAGGTAGATTTCAAGGCATTCAACAATTTGAAACAGAAATAAGGACATTAGGGAGAATTCAACACAAGAATCTTGTGACTCTTATTGGCTATTATGTAGGAAAGGCTGAAATGTTCTTAATTTACAACTACCTTTCTGGTGGGAACCTTGAAGCTTTCATACATGACAGGTCAGGGAAAAATGTTCAGTGGCCAGTCATTTACAAAATTGCAAAAGACATAGCAGAGGCCCTTGCTTTCCTTCATTACTCTTGTGTTCCGCGCATAGTTCACCGGGATATCAAGCCTAGCAACATCTTACTTGATGAAGATCTTAATGCCTACTTGTCAGATTTCGGCTTGGCGCGGCTACTTGAGGTATCTGAGACCCATGCTACTACTGATGTGGCAGGCACATTTGGTTATGTTGCACCTGAATATGCCACAACTTGCAGGGTTTCTGACAAAGCTGATGTTTATAGCTTTGGTGTAGTGTTATTAGAATTGATGTCTGGAAAAAGGTCACTTGATCCATCATTTTCTGAATATGGAAATGGATTCAATATTGTACCATGGGCTGAGCTGCTAATGACTGAAGGTCGTTGTTCTGAGCTATTTTCATCTGCTTTGTGGGAAACAGGCCCTCAGGAAAAGTTGTTGGGGCTTTTAAAGCTTGCATTAACATGCACAGTAGAGACTCTTTCTATTCGACCTTCCATGAAGCAGGTTCTGGAGAAATTGAAACAATTGAAAACTTGAAAACTTTGAGCAGATCATACTGATCAGCAATGGAATGCTGCTTTTGTTTGCTTGAAACTATTGACTCAGGTAAGTGATATCATATATAAACAACTTATGCTAATTTCTCTTATCTTTCTGATGCTAGTGTTTGTGTGCCATACTGCTAAAATAATCATTCTTTATGATCCATATACACATGGAACTTAACCATTCACCTTCTTTAACTGCACTTATGTATTTTGAATTAATAAAAATCTAATGTAATGAACAGTGATATTGAATATCCTTTAAGATAATTGTTCTCATCTTCCGTTTCTCTAATATTAATTACATGCTAATATTTGTGTGTCTTTGTCCTGTTTGATCTAAATCTCTTCTGTGCCCTTTCTCTATTGAATCCAAACTCTGAACATATCTCATCTCAAAGGGGATAAACTGAGAAAGAAGTTTGACATTTTGTCCATAAAGAGTGAGCCTTGAAGCAGTGGTAAGATTACTTCTTGTGACCAGAAGGTTACAGGTTTGAATATGGGAAACAGTTTCTTTGCAAAAATGCAAGGGTAAGGCCGTATAAAAATCGACCTTCACCCCTACCCTAACAAGTTTTGGAGTCTTGTGCACCGGTGTTGTCTTTTGCCCTTATTACATTGCTAAATGCCTAAATCTGATATCAGTATTTGATATGGGCTGGTTACTTTAAAAGTTGTATACAATTTTTGACAACTTATTGCCTTTATGATAGAAGCAACAAATTGTGCCCATACTGTGAATATTTTAATGTGCCTAATCATATTAAACTTCAATTTTTGATACTTAACATTTTTATGTGTTGGACAGATAACTTGCAAGAAAAGGTTACAGGTCCAGCAGCTGCGAAGCTTCTCATGAACAATTGTTTCTTGCCACTAGGAAATAAGGAATCTGATATCATAATGGCAAAACACATGAGCTGTTACTACAAAGCCTGTGTTACCTCCTTTCACATTTGTGCTAACAGTTTTCACACTATCAGAAGATGTGCATTAACCGCTAGATGCATGTTTGTGAATACCATTTCATTTGCATTGAAGGATGGTCATTATGATTTTTTTACATTTTGGAGGGCTTTTTAGGTGACCGCTTGGGAACTCTGAAAAATCCAAAATTCTTTAATGACGTAGTGACGAAGCAACTGTCATCATTCTTTAGAAATGTTGAGTTTTATATCAGTCTCTGAGCAAGAGAAATGCCAAAAGTGCAATATCGCCACTTTGTCAAAATCTTCCCAAAGGTGTAAATAGGATGTTTTTGGATCTAATGTTTTTTTTTTTTTTTTTGGGTTCCAACATGTAAATAGAAAGTAGACAGAAAAACATGGTTTGACAACTCATCCATTGCCCAATTCTATTATTTTGTTAAATCATGATTGAAATGAAAAATTGCTGTTAATGGCTTAGTTGTTATTTTTGTTTGTAACTTTTTCTTAATCTTAAATTGGTTTAAATATCCAACTTATGGGAAAAATGTTTATCTTTTTAAATGACATAACTTATATCTTTTCATTTTCATAAAAAAGATAAAACTCACATTTTTATTTTTTTTGTCAACTCTTTCTCCTCCTTTGTCTATCTCTTTCTCTTTTTCTTGAAATGAGACAACTTTATATCTTTTAAAATGATACATACTTTTTTCCCAACTTATATGCAGAAAAATAATGGTACTAGAATTTAGTTATTTAAGTAGTTGATGACGATCATATTATGGCTTTTTTAACCCATGTAAAGCAAAATTAGAAATTATTTACTGGTTCAAAATTTTTGACAGGCCATTTACCAATCTAACGAGAAAAGATGTATATTCTGACAATATGTGTTCAAGTTGTGCATGTTCTCGTTCTCTATGCGCAACTTGTGCAAAAACTAGTGTGCGTCAGTCATGTGTCGCGATATATTAGTAGTGCGTGTTCAATGTTGCGTTATATTAGTAATACGCGTTCAAGTTGTGCACGTCTCATCATGCGCATCTCACATAGCGCGATATAGGGCATACACAAGTTGGTTTTTACACAAATTGTGCGTAGGAACAATGTGTGACTTAATACATACACTCCCCTTGTGCGATTGACTCACGTTAAATTGATAAATAATTTATCAAAATAATTAAGGGTTTAATATCTCTTATATTGTAAGAGATAAAATTATTTCATATACACATATAAAATTATTTAGGACTTATATTTTCTCTTTTCCTTACATGACCTAACAAGGGTCCCACAAACTTTTATTATTGTATAAAAGATAAAAATTATCTCCTACAACATGATAAACACCAAATCCAATAATTAAAGGTAATACTTTTCTTATGTTACATAAGAAAAGTATTATTTCTTATACTCATATTTTTTAAATGGGTTCAAAAAATTTTTTCTCTCACTTGTAATTTTTTTTTCTTATTTATTGTTTGGATACGAAATAATTTTTTTTTTATCTCATATAACATAAGAAAGTATTATCCATAATTAAATGGGTAAAATGCTTGGAATTCGACATTGGATGGCTCAAAAACCTCTACTAGTGCGTCGCTGGTAACAATTGTTAAATTTTTTGTAAAAGAAAAATCGACATAGTCAAAGACTTGCTGATATTATTATTAGGGTTTTACAAGAGTGATGTTGTAGGAAAAATAATTGTGTAATGTTATAGAGATTCGTTTTGCGTGCCATAATTTTCTTTTTCTTTTTTCTTTAAAAAGTGTGGGTCCCATAGAATGTTGTGTATGTAAATTAGTTTATTGTGTCATGTTAAAATGACAAATATAAATTCCTTATTATTATTATCAAATCAATACACCACAAGCTCCTGAGTGTAGAATGGAATTGGTAAATGGCATCTTTGAATACTAACCATAGGAAATACAAAACATGGTGATATTAGACTACTAATCAGACTATTTAGCCGTAGGTGCAGGAAATTTCTACAATACTACAGATGCACCCAATTTTTTATACATTCCTCCAATCAAAACCAAACAACAAATACCAGACATGTAATAAAAAAAAGTGAGGTCTCAAATACATGTGTTAGATTTTAAACGGAAGTAGTATATACTACTAATGTACCAAAGATGAGCTCGTAGGTGCACTCGTTAAAATCAGATGTGGCGCCACGTGACTTGCATCCCATCCCATCTGATTGTTTTCTTGTTTCCAGATTTGAGGAAAAGGGAAAAGTGTGTATCATTTCAAAGAATGTAAAGTTGTGTCATTTTAGGTGAGAGAAATAAATAGATAAAGGAGGAATGAGTGGACAAAAAAATATAAAGGTGTGAATCCCACCTCTTTGTGAGAGTAAAATGACACAATTTGTGTCATTTAAAAGGACAAATATTTTTCCTTTATGATAATGGAACACTTATTATTATTATTATTATTATTATTATTTTAAACTTTGAAGAAGGTCATCGTTGGGTTTGAATATTAGAATAATTTAATCGTTATTAGACGTGTCAAAATGGATTAAATCCTATAGGTCAATCCATCAACCCGCCAAAACAATACGGGTTGGATTATACATATTAGGGCTTGCAATTTCTCATGTTGCATGAGAAATGCAAGTTTTCCTACAGAGAGAGAAAGGGGTGAGGCCCACCTTAAAGAAAAAAAATAAAAAATAAAAAAGTGATTGGCACGGACATCGAAGTGAGAGTGGTAGGAGAGAAGATTTCTCATGCAACATGAGAAATCTTTTTCCCTACATATTAACCCACTAATCAGTTTCAATCCGCCCCGTTTAAAGTGGGTTAAAATGTGTTACGGGTGGGTTAACCCACGGGTTATTATCAAATCTAAACCGTTGAGTTACGTCAATCTAACGGTTATAATTTATTAGAATTAATAATTAATTAATAAGTGTGACCCAATAAATATAACCGTTAGATGACGAAAATCAACGGTTAAGATTTGGATATTATTTGAAAAAAAATTATACACAATCCCATAAGATTTCCTACCAGGTATGTTTGGTACAAGAAAAGTTTTTTTGTGTCCGAAAATCATGATTTCCAGTAATATACAAAGAAATCCAATTTACCTGGAATGATATAAAAAAGTTGTTTGATAGACATAAATATTATCGGAAATATTTAATAATTTTACTGAGTATATGTTTGGTTGTTAGTAAAATATTACTGCTAATATATGATGTTTTTACAAAACTAACCTTAACTTTTTAAAACATTTAGTACAATGACACCACACCTACCTTTTTATGTGTGTTGGGGTACTTTAGTCTCAAAAATTCTTATTCTGCTTTTCCTTCGGTTGGAATAGTGAATTACCACATTATAAAGAGTAATTTTTCTTTGTATATGGTATTACTGGTAAAAGTAGAATGTCTGGGAATTGTATTTTATTTTCTTCTACCAAATATGGCAATTTACTTTATCAAATAAGGTTTATCAGTAATCTTTCAAATACTCTTGTACCAAACACACCTTAATTTTTTTTTCTCTTATTTATTGTTTGGATACGAAATAATATTTCTTTTTATCTCATATAACATAAGAAAAGTATTATCCATAATTAAATTAAGGGATAAATGTTTTCGCAGTTAATGCAGAGAAGTTATCTGTATTTATTCCCAAAACGACGTCGTTTTGGTATTGAAATCTTAAAAAATTATAAATATAAACGCTATTATAACCCTAAAATAAATTAAAATTATAAAAACACCATAATTTCTGTCCCAAAATAACGTCGTATTGCTTACTGCAGATAACTTATCTGCAATAACGGCAGAAAAAGTGAATCCTTAAATTAAATGGGTAAAATGTTTGGAATTTGACATTGGATGGCTCAAAAACCTCTACTAGTGCGTCGCTGGTAACAATTGTTAATTTTTTTTGTAAAAGTAAAATCGACATAGTCAAAGACTTGCTGATATTATTATTATCAAATCAATACACCACAAGCTCCTGAGTGTAGAATGGAATTGGTAAATGGCATCTTTGAATACTAACCATAGGAAATACAAAACATGGTGATATTAGACTACTAATCAGACTATTTAGCCGTAGGTGCACTCGTTAAAACCAGATGTGACGCCACGTGACTTGCATCCCATCCCATGTGATTGTTTCCTTGTTCCCAGATTTTATGATAACGGAACACTTATTATTATTATTTGTAAACTTTGAAGAAGGTCACCGTTGGGTTTGAATATTAGAATAATTTAAACATTATTATAGATGTCAAAATGGGTTAAATTCTATGGATCAACCGGTCAATCTGTCAAAATGAGTCAAGTTAAATTTTACATATTAACCCACTAATCCATTTCAACATGCCCCGTTTAGAGTGTGTTAAAACATGTTAAGGGCTTGTTATCAAAAAAAAAAAAAAAAACATGTTAAGGGCTGGTCGAGACAAGTTAACTTACAGATTAATCTTTTAAAAAATAAATTAAAAATTTATAAAAATATATATTATATAATTAACTTTTGAAACTTGAAGGATGTTTTTGGTAGATGATAGATTTTTTTTCCCCGAAAATCATGATTTATAATAATATGATAGGAAAGTCCCTTTTACAAGAATATTATAAAAAAATTATTTAATAGACCAAAATATTACTGAAATTTTATCCCTAAAAATAAGTATAATTTTTTTGCAACATCTAAAATTCCAAGAATACCATCCAATCATCCATTCGGTGATATTCTTATCTTAATTGAAAAAAGCGACTAAACCCAAATCCAAATTAATTTTCAAAAACCTTATAGCACAGTGAGTAAATAGCTATCACTTTCCCCAAAATCTCAGAAAATTCCCCTCCCAAACACCCGCTTACTTGTGCTCAACCTCCTTCATTCTTCAGGTTTCTTTCTCACTATCACACTCTCACAGTCTCACTTACTTCATCTGGTATCACATCGATATTTTTTTCTTCTTCTCGCTTCTCTTCTGATTCTGCGTTCTTTACCCTTACTGCGGTGCCATTTCTCTTCTTCTTCCAGTACCCATTATCAGCTCGTGGTCGTGGTGACATTTCCTGCGCCAAAAAGAGGTTTATTTTACTGCCTTATTATTACTAGTATCGTTCTTTTTTTTCTTTTTTTGTAAGTTTGCCCCAGAAGGGGTTTTTGTGTTTGATTTGTTCAAGGTTTAATGGATTTTAAGCTGAATACTCAAATGGGATTACGGGGGAAGCATTTTACGGAGAATTCAGAGGGGGAAAGGGAGTCAATACAGTTAGGGTAGGGTAGTCATTGTCAATAAGGAGCATTCTGTTGTATAAGTGCTGATGTGGAATTGTAGTGATAGTTAGCGGTGAGGTTAGTTAATAAAAGGAACCCATTGTATTCGGTGTGATATTCATTGAAGTAATAACAGAAAAGTCATTGTTTGGTTCTCTTTCTTGTTCTTGTTTCTGTTTCTGTTTCCCTATAAGGGTTCAGCACCCTTAACAAGCATGTTCAACCTCTCCAGCCAACTGAAGGTATGCTTGGAGTTAGAGTAACCATTTAGAAATGCCAATGAACCGCTATACATTTGGACAATAAGAATTGGATCCCCAACAGTGTACTTCTCTCCGCAGTAGTGGACACTAAGAGGACACACAAATAAAAGATAAAAATAACTTTAATTTGAATTCCAAAATAAAATCATCTATATCTAAAAGTTTAAAAAGTGTGGAACCAGTTAATGATACCAAGTGATGGGTGGCAGACGTTCTTTTCAACTTCGCTAGCTGATTGGACAAGTATATCCTTAATCAGAATGGAAATAATGCAGCAATAGGGAACTAGAGGACGATGCTCTTTTTAATCTGCTGGAGTATTTGAATTGGAGAAATAAAATTGCTCATGACTCAGGTAATAGGTCTTCCACAAACTCGATTATTGCTCAAAATATTATCAGGTTGTCAAAGAACATCTGCGAAGCATTCCTGCTTGGAAACCTTGCTTATCTCAATTGCGGTGCTATGATGGCATCCTCTTGACAAATGATGGGTTAAAATAAACACTGATAGGGCAGCCAGAGGCTGTGGCCCTACTTCTTGTGCTAACATTTGTAGAAGCTCTAATAGCAACTAGTTATAAGGAGCTTTGATTATCTCACAGGGATTGTAATGCTTTTATTAAAGAATTATGTGGCACCTATTTATACGTTTAGGTTCTAAACCTATTTATATGGGTGAGTGTGGTGTAGTGAGGAGAAAAATATAGTGACACTGCAATCCTTTTTCTCTACCTATACTCTTTTTAATTTACCATTGTGTGATTTAACCGTTCCTAAGAAAAGCATACTTTCGTGGTTACCTGCGGGTAGTGGTGGAGCCACATTGGTGCCAACTGGTACCTTGGCACCAGTTGACTTTCAATAAATTTTATTTATTATATAATTTTAGATAATTAATTGTAATTTGACCAGGGTTTTAGGTTTAATTTGGCATTGTCTAAAAATTAAAATGTTTAAGCCATTAGGATTAGTCTGGCGTGAGGATTTTGGATAGATTGTATTAGGTTGTGCGTTCGATTCCCACCTATATTTCCAAAAAAAAAATAAAATTAAAACGTTTAATAAAATTAAAAAATCTCCTCTCCACCGACTAGACTTAGGTCTCTCTCTCTTTCTCGATCTAGCTTCCTATGCTCAGATTGTGCTATTTTTATTAGCATTTCGCTTCATCATGTTTTAGATCTGCGATTTCCTTTGAGGTCTAGTTTTTATGCTCTTGGAATCAGAATTATTTACTTGGTTGTTAGTAGGATTACTTGAGTTGATAATCAATTTTAGATTGACCCTGTTAAGTACAAGAGCATCTCGTGTCTGGGTTTGGAGTTTTGCTCAAGGAACAGGGATTCAAGGGCTTTTTCCGCGGCCAGGTGCCTACCTTGCTCGGTTACATTGCACAGGGTGCTTGCAACTTGCAAGTTTGGGTTCTATAAGTTCTTTAAGAAGTATTATTCTGATATTGCTGGTCCAGAGTATGCAAGCAAGTATAAGACCTTGATCTACCTTGCTGGTTCCGCATCTGCGGAGGTTATTACTGATGTTGCACACCTGCACTCTGCCCCTTTGAGGCTATGAAGGTTCCTGTCCAAACTCAGCCCGGTCTTGCGAGATGTATGCTTATAAATGCTGTTAATTCTCCACGGAGTAATTTGTTTATTTTCATCATTTGAAATACTTGTCAGATCGCATACAAGGTGTTTGATCAAAAGTTTGAGCTATTAATTTTAGGCTAAAATACAATTTAATTCCTTAAACATTGGTCATGTTTTAATTGTTTCAATTATAACTATTGTTTGTCATTTGATATGCAAATTTTTTTGGCACTAGCTAAAATTGGAGTCTGGCTCCGCCACTGCCCGCGGGAGATAGTATTGTGAATCTACAAAAGATTACTGTTTCGATTCAGTCACAACTGCTTTTCTTCTCTCTCTTTTTCTCCTTTCTAACGGCGCTAATCTAACTCAGGTTTTTGCCGCTTCTGCGTTTTTAGTCTTCTCATTAGCCCAAGATGACTCGTTCTAAAGCCAACTCGATGAAACAGCGTGGCGTCGACTTCAAGGTTACCTCTGTGTGCCCTAGCATTATTCTGTTGTACACTTGCCTGCATGTGTAACTGTGTTCATGATTTTTTTTAAAGCTTTTCAACGCTTATCGGCGTGTTACTTGCTTAAAATTTTCAGAAAATAAGACGAAAGGTTGGGAGGAAACTGCCACCGCCTAAGAATACAACAAATACCGAAATCAAATCTAAAGGTACTAAGTTTACATGCCTTCTGCTCCAAAATTTACCTAGGTTTTGTTCTTGACATGTTCGTTTACTGCTTTCTGTGTTAGTGAGGCAAAATGCAAGAGATATGGTAAAATTTGTTGTACATACTTAATAACTTGTTTGTTTTTGTTTATGAAACATATTACCTGAACTGATTTCTTTTGTTATATGCCGTAGTTTTTCCTTTTTAAAATGCTAGACAAATCTGTGAAATTGAAAATTTTGTTTACTTGTTTTATTTATGATTGGCTTGACAAGAACTAATGTCACGGAATAAGTTTACTGACACATCTTGACCAGCAATTGTTCTGCCGGAGCAGAGTGTAGCAGCAGAGAAGGGGGGTTTACCTGTAAACAAGAAAGGTTTGACTTTAAAAGAACTTCTTCAGCAAACATCTCATCACAATGCAAAAGTTCGTAGAGGTATATTTATTTTGTTGAATGTGTTGTCATTATATAATTGCCTCTAAATGTGCATGGAAATATCATTAAATCTCAGTGGTACATGTTCTAGTATTTAAACCAATAAAATTTTCAAAATCATTAGCTTTGATAAACTGAGTTGGACAGAAGCTTTCGGCTAAGTAAAGGTTAATTTATTTGGTTATTTGACAACCTTTAAAGTTAGAAGCCAATTTATAGTAATGTACTGGCTACTACCTTGTTTTTTAGGGAATACGAGTAATGTGTGAACTACTTAGATAATTCTATGCATTACAGTTACAATGTGTTTTTTTAATTATAATTAATAGAACATTGTTCTGAATTGAAATAACAATGAACCTTGGTTTGGAACCAAACCACCGAACCAGAACCTTGATTCTTGTTCTGTTTTTAGAATTTAGGGATCAATAGAGGTCAGTTTGGTTCAAGTTTAAGCCTCAAACCAAATAAATATGGACCATGAACCCCCTGTCAATATCAATCATTATTTCAAAATCTTTGATAAGAAAGTTAACATGGTGGTTAATTTTATTGTTTGTATCCTCCAAAAGTTACTTTAATGGGCAATGGCACACCATGATCTCTTCGAAGGTCTTGGTTCCCAATATATTCTTACTCTTTTTGAGCTGTAATAACATGAATTGACGTTATTGCTAATTTGCTATATTTAATCCTGTCAAGCATTCGAGTTTTCATTTAAATTCAGTGGTCTGCATATTAATAGTCTTTCTTCCCCCGTTAAAATATATATGCATTGATCGGTATTAAGGATTTATTCATAAAAAATCCAGCAGAACTGATGTTGCCCAAGTATGCTGCTGTAGAAAAATTTCGTGAGCGCATTATTGATGATGATAAAGTGGTTCGAAAATCATTGTATGATCTTTTGAAATTGGTGATTTTCCCTGGCTGTAAAGAGGTACTTTCTATTTTGTTAATTTAAATTACTTTTCTTACGCATTGAGAAGTTGCTGTTGTCATTTGAAATGGTAAAATATTCTAACTGCTTTTTCTCTCCTCCCTTTTGATAAAAGAATTCATGTAAACAAAATATACATAACATGAGGATAAGTGTGCTCCTAAAGCTGCAAAGGACATTAGAGAGAAGAAAATAATGAAAGAGTGAATAACCTGAAAAGAGCAGTCCAGTACTTCTACTTGTTAGAAGTAGAAGCACCCTTAAAATTATTTTGACCAAAAGCCTACAAGGCCCAGAAAAGGTGGGGATAAAGAAATTTATGGCTAAAAGTTTCTGGAATCATACTGCTGCCATATTAACCACACTTCAGCAGAATGAGCACAATATTAAAGCACCTTATAATCCACCCTACTCGCAAAACTGTTCTTCCGCCCAAAAATAAATGTTTTTGAGCCATTCTGACTTCTTTTTGGATTGGTAACAATATTTGCGGGGAAATTTTCAATCCCCTAGAAAGAAACTCAAATATATAGTATTTGTTTTCAGTCAGGCATAATTTTATTAGTTTCCAATCCTTTTAAAATCAATCTGAGTATTTTTTTTAGTAATACTTTGACATTCTGACTTCAAGGGCAGTTTGGGATAAATTTTAGATTCTTAGGAAACTCACATTGGAAATCCTAGTTACCCACGTTTGGTACAAGGATTCTTAAAATTTTTCTGCGAAAATGAGATTCCTGGGAATCAAAATTGTGAATAAAAATCCCTTGAAATAATAACCCCAGGTGGGCGTTATTCTTGGATTCTCACCTGGTGGGAAACTTTTTCATAAATTATAGGACATAAATAACCCTACTTTAATATCAATTTTTTTGTAAAATCAGATGTTAGTTTTGTAACGTCGCATTTTGACCTTTTTGTGACATTATAAATTCTTTTCAAAAATTCATCAAATGTCAGTTTTGTAAAATCAGCCCACATTCCCAGGAATCATTTACAATCAACAAAACATAGAATGAGGAAACTTGAACCAACATTCTTGGGAATATTTTGGCTTACCAAACAACTTTTGGTAACATTCCTGGGAAATTCACTCTCCTTGTATATTCTCAGGAATCGTGATTCCCAATAACAAAAAAATTTCTCCTTTATCAAACGCCCCCTCAAAATATTCAGCCTCTCAAAAAATAACTTGGTTATTTTTATATGTCACTATCCCTTCAACTTCTTTGGGTTCATAATCTATGACTACCCCAATTAGCTTGGGTTAAAGGTGCTGTTGATGTTGATGTTGTATCCCTTCAACTTCTTTCCTTAATTGTCACGGGGAGGGGGGGTTGTTGTAAAAATAGAAGTTAAAACTTTCCCTTGGGGTGTGGGGTGGTGGGTGGTACATCATTATGTCTTCCCGATTTAGGATGGTTGTATTTTATTATGGGACACTAATACTAATACAGATTACCATGTGTTGTGTATATTACATGGAAAAAGCTCATGTAAAGTGAGTTTGTCTCTAAATTAAGCAATTAAGGGTGTATCCATGCTTGATTTAGTTTAAAGTGCATCTTGATCTTAACCAACTAGAATTTATGGGTGGATACCCTCTTACCTGTCACTTTAAAGAGCCTTGTCCTTATTATATTATTGTAGTGTTACCAAAGAAAGGCATAAGATTGTGTTGAAAGAGTGATGTTTGATCTGTTTTTCTCTTGCGTGAAGGTAAATGATGGTTTTTTTGTTACGATTTCTGTTTTGTTATGTTGCCTTCTGGTTATTAATCTATGATGCTTTAGATGTCTAGTTGTAATACTCTATGCCCTGTGAAGCTGTTTGCTATCCACATTGGTTCCGAATTCTGATTTTGGGTATCTAATTTGTTTTCCCTTTATGCAACCTATGATTATATTATTACAGTGAAGATTACTCTTTTCTATACTTCATCCACCTTATTTTGTTATTTGGTTTTCCCTATATTTTGTAGGGTACTCAGCAGCAGATCATTTCTTTATTGATGGCTTACATTTTTCATGCAACGACACATATTGCGGTTGACGTTCGGATCATGGCATTTAATTTCTTAAGCCTTGTTATCGAGTTTCATCCTCCTTCCTTTTCCTCTTATGCAGAAAAAGTGATATTATGTGTCCATTTTGTAAATTTTCTTTTAACATTATGTTAGAATTGCCCCTTTGGATCCATTGGCAATAGCAGTAGTTGTGGTCTCCTCTCAATTGCTGATCCTTTTTGCAATGAAGCTTTTATTATTAGATAGTTTCATGCAAGGGCTCTTTAAATTTTAAAGTATTTTCTCTAAAATTTTGCTGGAGAGAAACATGCTCATGCTTCAATATATATCTAAAAACCAAATGGATTTTGCATCCTCCTTTCTCTTAATGAAGCTTTTATTTATTTCTTGACATGATGACAAAGCTTTTGTTATTAAATAGTTTCATGCAAGGGCTCTTTAATTTTTAAAGTATTTTCTTTGCTGAAATTTTGCCTAACAATAGGAAGAGAAACATTACCTCATGCTTCAATATATATCTAAGATTTGATTGAACTTTGTGCAGTGTTCCTCATATTTGACAAAAGCTTAAAACTCGAGGGGAATTATTATTTTCAATTTCCTTTTATTATTCTTATTTTGAATTCAAGAGGGCAATCCTGAAGCAGCGGTAAAGCTGCTACTTTGTGACTGATTTGTCATGGGTTCAAATTTGAGAAAGAACTTTTTTGCAAATATATAAGGGTAAACCTACGTTCAAGAATTACCCTCAGCCCTACCATCAGTAGTCAGGGTTTAATGGGGTGTTATTTATTCTTATTTTTAATTCCCACAGATTTGACAGTGCGTTTTAAAGAATATTGCCTCAATTTATTTCATAGTTGTGTTGGCGAAATGAACACTATGATTGTAATTCTTTTTCCCATGGTTTTTCATAATTGATTTCTGTGCCATAATCTTTTTATCTATTTCCTTGTCTGTAATTTTATTCTATTCTTTAAACCTTTCCTGCTTTTGAGTTTGTATCGTTCCTATATTTTTATTTGTCATATTTCTGTATTTGGGGTTTAGAATTCTGTAATGTTGGTTGCATGGTTAACAGATTTTTCAGAATTATGAGGATATTCTAAAGAATAACCAGTACTATTTACAAGACAAAGGAAAACTAAAAGATTTTCTTGATGGGTTGGTTCGCTGCTTGATGCTCCTCCCCTGGAATAAAGGAGAAACTGGTTTGCATAATAAGGTACCTTGTTTTCATATAACTTTGAATGCACTGGTGAGTCTTTTTAAGCTTTGGTAATTCTATGCATGATACAAGCCTCTTTTGGCAATCTCTATCATTTGTCATTTTATTTCCTCTTAGCAACTTTTTGCTTTAACTGGTTGAATTATGTGCATCTGGAAATTTTATCTTTTGCTCAGGAAGCATTTACTACTTTACAAGCTTTTGCTCAAATCATAATAAACATTACTAGCTGGATAACTATATGAACTATAAGTAGCATGGGAGTTATGATTAAATTCATGGCTTTTCAGGCCCTGGTAGTTTTCTGTTGTGTGAAACATCTGAAACTACTTGCTTTGTTTTCCCATTGATTTATGCAGCTTCATTTTTCCTTCTCCAATTTATTTCTAATCCTTTCTCCTATTTTTATAGGATGATAGGGGCCTAAGGGTACCGCATGCTTATGAAGATGATAAGTCTATGAGCTGTAATAATGGTATGTTAACTTCAAAATATATTTTAGATTTTGAATGAAATATCTAATTGACTGGTGTTGTATGAGTATGCATAATTTTCATATATGTAAAAGGTTTGGTTAAAATTTTATGTTGATAATTATTTGACTGACAAGTTATGTGCTTTATCTGTTTGTGTAGATTTTTCTCATATCATACAGAAACTGAAGAATCTAGTGTCATTGTTAATAAATGTTTTTACGGAATTTATTCGATCAGTTAATGCTTTGGCAAGTCCTGAAGGGAAGTCCTTTGGTTGTCTGGCATCCATTCTTCACAGCATAGATCTTATAGTGAGGTCATTTGTGTATTGGACTCGTCGTAAGAAGTCAAAATTCCCCATTTTCCAAGCTGAACCCGATGTGGTTGTATGGGATGATACTATTTCTTTTGTATTCTTGAAGAAATTAAATCCTCTTTTTCCTCTGAATCCAGTGCATCATCTCTCGGAAAAGGTATTTAGATATAAAATCATTCATGCGCTTTTCCTAATAGCTTAACCTTTTGGGATAGTTAGTACAAGACATGGTATTAGAGCTTTTATGACCAAGTGGTCTATGGTTTGATCCTTATCATCCCAATCTTCTACCAAAAAAGATTTTGAATTTTAGCACGTGATAGGTGGATTTATGCATTGTTAATCCTTCAAACCCCGAAGGGTTCTTACACGAGTGGCCATGTCAGAGTTTAAGATGTAATATAAAAACATTTGTAAAATGTAAACAACCTCTCTAGGTAGAGAGTATCACACAACTGCGTAAGTGAAAAGATAAAGACTTCCGAAGATAAAGCGGAAGCATAACTAAATGTTTACATTAAGGATCTGGGCCATGTATCCCAGGGCCTAGTATGTTAAAAGATAAAAAAATTCAGGTTACACCTATAAATTAGTCTGTGGTGGGTTACCCCATTTCTATTGTGTTGTAGAGATCGTCTTCCTTTTGGCACACTAGATGGGGAGCAGCAGGACTATGATATTCTTCTACTTTCAAATAAACTAATCCTTTCTTCCTATGCTTTGCAGGATTGTGATAGGTTGCTTGACTTGAACATGGTCATTGCAAAAATATTTTTTGAATTAAATGAATGGATTTGTCTCCATCCTGATTTGATGAAGAAATTTCTAGAATTTATTGAAAATGCTCTCCTTGGGAAGGTTTGAAATATACACCAATAAAGTCTTTTTAACTTTTTGTACTAAAAAAAAAAGTCTTTTTAACTTTCAAGTTTAACAAAGTTTAAAATAATGGTCATTCTACATTTGTATTTGACTGGAATTGTTTGCATCCAGCTCTGCAGGGCTAAACAATCTGGTACTGCTGTTTGGGAAAAGCATCTAGTTCAGCTCCTTCCTTTTATTCCAAATTTTTTGTTTCTTGGGGCAACCTATTGGACATCTCATCATTCTTCAAAAAAAAATAAAAATTGGCCATCTTGTCTTCTTAAGGTTTGACTGGCTACATGATTTCTGAATATTAATTTTTTTTTATTGAATATTCTGATTCTCTAAACATTAGGTGACATTTGGTTTATTTTTTGTTTACATTTTGAATTGATATGTTTTCATTTATGATTACAAAAATGTCACATGTTTTCGCATTGTTTGCTACTCCCAAGATGTTAAGGAAATGGTGAAAACAACTTGTTTACACCATTTCAAATTCAAATACTTGGGGAAAAACAAAGTGAAAATAAGGTGGCATTTTCATAATTATTGGTGACAACATATCAACTGAAATTGAAAATAGAAAATAAACGAAAAATGACCTTAATCTTTTGGTTTCATATTTTCTAGTACTATGTTTATGTTTTTTTATTTATTTATTTTCTATAGAAGTTCCCAAGTTGCTAATGTAACATGGAATTTGTGGCCCTTGCAGGCATTTACCCACACATTCAGGGAAAGCAAGCCAGATTCCTCATTGAAATTGGCCTGTGTTTCTGCAATTGAAGATATGCTAAATCATTACATCTCTGCATCCCTGAAGGTAAGAAACGCCAATAATGGGGTAAGAGGAAAATGGAAAGGGACAGAAAATGAAAGAAAGGGAATATATTATTGATGAATGTTCAAAGAATAAGTTAAAGGGTAATCCTCTTCACAAGAGATTTTTCCCTTCACATTGAGAATACCTCAATCAACGATCAAATCTCCAAAAAAGCATCCATCAATAGGGACTGTTTCCCTTGTATACACTAACTATACCCTGTGTAGGTTTTACCTCCGTTAGTGGCAATTATGAATAGCTACTAACGACCCTGGGCTCTAATTAATGTACTCAACAAAATTAACTACTGCCTTGGGTATATTATTGTGGGAATATACTTTCCAAGTTGTTGGTTGCTCCCCTCTTCCTAATTGCGGTTGTAGTATAACTCATGTAAGTTTGGTTTTCATCTCTATCCCCAAGACGTCCTTAAAGTTCTTGACTCTTGGATAATCTTATGAAAAACTATTCATACCCCCTCCTTTCTCTTTTTCAAATTTATATGTATTTTTTTTACTTTGGTTCAAATCTAGGTCGCAAACACACATTCCCTTGAGAGTACAGAAAATTCAGAATTCGTTGATGCTTTACTTGCATGGACAAGAGAGCTCCCTCTCTTACTGATCCAGCTCAGAGATAATCACCCAGTCTGCTCCAAGGTAATTGTTATTTTAATTTGAAAAGCAGTTCTTTATGTGAAATTCCTTAGCTTGACAGAATTTGTAGAGATTTTAGTGTGTTTTTGCATTTATTATCTTAAATCTCCAATTTGGTATCTTCTTGTCCATGAAATATTCATTTCTCCATTACAGGCTGTATTGCACCTTCTACTCCACATTGGACAAAATGCTCCAGTGCATCCATCACTTGTTTGCACATATGACAACTTGCAGTCCTCATTGCTAGAATTTTATAGTACTTGCCGAGAAGGAGGTAAACATGAACATGTTGGCATCATTATTAATGGAACACTATTCACATGGTTATTTTTTGGCCCCTTATTGCATTGAGTTTTCATCTTGCAGGACATATATGCTGTGGTCCTTTTCTCAGGCTTCCTAGAGAATCTCAAGAGCTCTCTCTGTGTTGTGTTTCCTATTTCTCTCATTTGGACTGGCCTCTTTTAAAGTCAATGGCTTGTTGTTGCCTAAGTAAGCTTTTGATGCTTGTCTAAAATTTCAACTTGATTTCTTATTATTTTTTGGTTTACCATATCCCTTTACTTAATATTTTGACTGTTATCTTTAGCATAATTGATGTTGAATATTTTTAAATTTTATAATGATACATGGTGGTGAGTTATTAAAAGGCTTGCAATTACCATAGGCACAACCATGGGTGGGACCCACTCACTCATAAAAAAAAAATTACATGGAAATCAATAGGTGTGTAGGAAAGAAAACTTGTCTCCAACAACATGAGAGTAGTTTTTCCCTAAAAGTAAACATACAACTTGAATGAAAAGGCTGTCATTGAATAAATCAAATGTGAGATATAGTTGGTTGAGGACAATAAATTTCCAACTTTATACTTCATTTTCTTCTAGTTATATCTTCTTTTTTATCCGGGAACATGAGATATAGCGTAGAAGTCAAACTACTTTCATGTATTTTTTGAAAAGTACCTTTAGGCTGTGTCCTAAAAAATTACTATTAAAATGTTTCTATTGTCTCATCAAAAAAGAAAGATTAATATTTGTCTGTCTTGATAAACATTATTTTTTTATATATTTTTATGCCTGACGTTAGACAAAAAAGTTGGGACTATTCAAACTAGAAGTTTAAAATGTAGTTTATATTTGATGAAATTTTGTATGTTGATTTGGAAGTTGGCACTTTTTCGCTCAATGTAATCTTGTAGCCATAATTTTCATGCGAAAACATTGGGGGAGAGATCCCTAAAAAGACATTATGATTTATGAGAAATAAATGTTCTGGTAAGCTATAACTATGGATGATACTTTTGTACACTGCTTTTTTTCTCACATCCAGCACCAGTACTTTTAATGCCATTTGAGTAGGATTCAGATACAAATTTCTGGGTTAAAGCTTATGGATATTAATTTTGATTGTACATATTGTAGGTCCTGATCTAGATCCCCATGCGTTATTTTGGACCATTGATGTTCTCGATTCTGCCTATAAAGCTGGACATATAAAAGTTACAGATTTCTTGAATGTCTTCGTCACTCTTGTCTTGCGTTTCGAAGTTTCTCCTGGTAATGTATAAAGATTTTATTCTACCACTTATATCTTGCTTCTCGATAGCTGCTAGATTACATTTTTTTTATATTTATATATATATATATTATTCTATCTACCTTTGCCTACCACTCTCTAATACCATTAGATCAGAATTTCAATAGGAGAGAGAAATGATAAAAGTAATTGAGATTCTAATCTAATTATGTTGGAGTGGTAGATAAAGGTAGGCAGAAAAAGAGGTAGGTAGAATAACCTATCCATATATATGTATATAACATTTCTTAAATGTTGAGGAAAATATCTAGTCACTGATATATATTTGTACTTTACTTAGGTAAGTTGTGTTCGACCTTGACCAAGAAAAAGTTAAATTTATTTATTTAGGATGATTGAATTGGTTATGCTTGTCAATCTTTTTAACCTACCTAGTCTTCTGGCATGAAAAATGTTATTCCCTTTTAATTTTGCAGATGTCAGTTTTGTTGGTTTGAAGAGTGATCCACGCCGCCAAACTTTGAGGTCCATGACAACTAGACTTTGCTCATACATGGTACAGATGGGTAACAATTCTCTTGTTCTACAGATGACAGAGGAAATAATAGTTCAACAAATAGTGAGTTGATTTAATTGTGTGCTATGTTTTGAGATTTCTTCTTTGTTTGAGCATTTGTTTTCCCTTGTTACTTTCCTGCTGCTTCTTATTTGCTGCTTCTTATTGGCTCATCAAGAGACTGAGACTTTCTAGAAGCACGAGTTCTTATACTGGCATATTGTGTCATAGGTGCTAAAGCCTTTTTTGGATAACAATTGTTCTCTCTTAAGAATGATTGTTGCATTGGATTCCGATTCCGATTTCGAGTCAAAGCCCAAGCCCTCAAGACTTTCTGAGCAAAGCATTACCTTTCTAGGCCATCACCTTTTGGAATATCTGATGGATGCTATACAGGTGAGCATACTGTCTAAATTCCTCTCGTAAAACGACAAATATATGCCTGAAGCTAAGTTGAAGCCTCCCTATTTCACATGTATCTTTATTTTTTATCATGTTTTACATTAAAAGTAAAATATCTTGTAGGCAATATTTTTTTTTTTCTGTGTTTGTTTTTGTTTTGGAAGTCAACATGTTTAGAACATCTTTGAAGTATTGATTGACAACTTTTAGAAAGAAATGAGGAATCTTGCAAAATGTCATTGAGACACATTAAAGGAAATTAGGGGAATACTTCCTAAATTCTGCTTGACTTTTCTGATGAGATTGATTTAGGTGATTTTTCATTTGTTGGTCATGGTTTTTCGAGTTAACCAACAACAGATATCAACATTGCGATTTTAGCCAGGTGACAATTCATGAGAATAATGGCAACTTGACCCTTCTACGGGTGCTCTCCCCTTACTATTGGCCTAGGACTTGATTCTTTTTTTATGGCTGAACTTTCCATGTAATAAAACATGGAGGGGTATCTAAAACTTACCTCTGAACTTCAAAGTTATTATTTTTAACAGATAATGAAGAAGCATTTTTTTTATTTTCTCATAGTGACATTTGTAATTCTAAAAGCATTTATCAAATCTTATCCTTAAAAAAAAAAAAAAAACACTTTTTTTAGATTCCTAGTATATTTGCTTTTCTGATACTGGTTAGTGCATTTTGTAAGTTTCTTCTGTTACTTCCCCCCCCCCCCCCCCCAAATCAGTGTATTTTATTTTATTTTTTACATGAGTTAATTATGGTGTTTTTAACTGATATCAGTGTATTTTATTTTATTTTTTACATGAGTTAATTATGGTGTTTTTAACTGATCTATGTGTTTCATCGTTGCACAACAGTGCGTTCCAGAAGATGGTGACAAGGAGCGCACTTCCTCCTCCATACTGCTTTATTATCTTGAACCTTGTTTTCTTTTGTTTGGTCGGTGCCATAAACTGATGAGTCTTGTATTGAAGACAATGAGATCAGCTATAACTGAAACTAGTTTGACACCTATATCTGATAATTGCACTCAACATACAAGCAACTGTTTGATTAAGGTGGATGTTGTAGCTTCTGTACTTATTGCGATGCACAAGGATAAAAAATTGCGAAAGATTATGGTTGAAGTCAAAGAAGACATTGATTACATTATACAGGAAATACATTTGTTACAGGTAGATTAAACTTTGATGAACAGTATTGATTGCAGTTTGTTTTTTTAAATGTTACTTAACTGCAAGAATTCTTATTGATTTGCAACGTATTTAGTTTTTCTTAAATCATAATAACCCTTATATATTGGTTTTCTTTGTTTTTTGCAGTCATCCAGGGATTCCAATATGACCATCGAAGAAAGGCATAAGTTACACTGTACATGTGAGCAACTGAAAATATTGAAATAACAAAGATGTTTTGGAGGAGAAACTGATTCATCTTTAAGTACTTGTTTTATCATTTACTAAAACTTAATGTTGGGTTGGTTGTTATTCTTTATTCTAATATTATATTAATTATAGTATCATATTACCTCTTTTACCTTTTGGTTTCGTGAATTGAAAAAAGAAGTTTTTAAGCCAAAAATATTTTATTTTCTGAAAAAAGTTCTCCCTGCTCGTAAATTACAGTTATTTTGTTTTTCGATGTGAATTTCACAATCGGAGGCTATTATTGAAATTATTTATTTACATTTTTTAAAATGTATATAACTTTTTAGTTTAGATTAGTTTAGAATATAATAGAATATTTATTTGAAATATAAATTATAACATAATTAATTGTATAATACAAGATATAGATAATAAGGATAGGTTATATTTATAAACTCAGTTTATAAACTCTTAAAAGGGACGTTTGGTTGAGAATTTTTTTTTAGAATAGTAGGAAAACGTAATAGATAGAGAAATGATTGGAAAGATAGATAAAGTGAGATATGTAGAAAAATGTAAAAAAAAGTTGTTTGGTGAAGAAAAATTTTACTAGGAAAATTAGGTAACTTTATGAAATTAACAGTGCATTAAAAGTCAGATAATCGGTTTTTCGAAAAATCTCATCTTCAAATTGGGTTTCTAAACAGTGCGGATATTTATGTTTCTCATAATTCTATACAAATTGGATAGATGAGTTTTTGGTGAAAATACGTTGAAACAAACATGATGTTTCTAAAAGCCATATTTTAGAAATATAGATATCCGCTGAAAAGCTCCCAACCAAATACCACCTTACATATCTATTATGGGTAGTATATATTACTACATGCTGAAATAATATGTTGGTGAATGTACTATATTTCGGTGACTAGTTTTATGAGATATTTATTTTCTACAGCATTAATGGAAGGGTCCAAAAATGCCTGATTGATCTTGTTGCCCTTTTTTGTTGTTATAAGATTATCACTTTGTCCCTTTTAACTTGCATTTACTCTAGTAACTAACGTCAGAGAAACTTAAAAACTCAAATTAAATGTCTTGTACGCATATTAATGGATTTGGGATGATTTTTTACGGGTCCAAAATAATTGAGTACAGTCTTCATTCATTTCTTTAAATCCTAAAATGATGAAATCTTTGGAGCATAATTTTTGGCTCAACAGTTTGAATCGGTTTTTTTTTTATTTCATATAATTTTTTGAGAGATTTAGTAGCGGCATAAATCTTTAAAAGCAATGTCACATGGATATAAATATGTACATAAAACTTAGTTTGGTAAATTTTGTTTTGGGTATAAATAACTTGAATGGAGATTATCATCAATTGTTTTGAACCATCGAAATCATGAAATCCAAAGATGTCTGGACTACCCTCAATTGTTTTTTGACACCTTGAATTGAATTGGAGATTTCCTTCAATTGAAAAGAACCTACAAATACTTATTCCAAGTCTATTTATATACGTACAAAACATTAGAGTTTTGTTTGAATTAAAAATATTTGTGAATTTAAATTTGAGTTGCTCACTTGTCTGAATTACTTGATTAAGTCATTTACTCGAGTAACTGGTCCAGTTACTTAAGTAACTCGCTATCAATGTGATCAAACAGGAGTATATTGATATTTAATTTTGATAAAAAGTTAAAATTAATATATAATTTTAAAAAGGGTTAAAGTGGTAAAAAAAATTAAATATAAGAGCACAATCATCAATCACCCGTCCAAAAACAGGAAAAATATGACATCAGTATTAGAAATTTGAAGGTGATTGTTAAAGTTTCATGTTCATTTAAAATGATTTAAATGATACAAATGAAAAGTGATTCACAATTTTTTGTTTTAGTTTGAAATGATTTAAGGTGGTACAAGTGGAAAACGTTTTGACTCAACCCTTTCTAATTTTAAGTGAAGATATAACCTTAAACACATCACTGTACAAGAGGCGCAACTTTGCAACAATTGAACAAGGAGTGAAAACTTAAAAACTCACAAATGATAGATGCACAAATAAAATTTATCTTTGAGTATAGGTTAGTTGGTAACACGGGTAGAGTAATTAAGGAGAGAAAGAATTTGGATTCGATTCTTACCAAATATTTTTTTAGAGAGATGCGAAGAGTTTTAATTATGTCTAAACTCCAACTGAGGATTAGTCTCAAAAATTTGAAATTTGTGAGGAATACCTAAAAGACCAATTTGCCTCAAAAGGTAATTAGCGTCGAAATACCAAAATAAAAATAAAAATTTGATCTTGTTAGAATTTAATTGGTTTTAATTTTAGTAAAATTACTTTTTGAATAATTGGTGTTAAAAAATAAATTTTTATTTTAAAAATAATATTTTAGAAGTTATATTTAGAAAAAAAAAATTATTTAAATAATAAAATAAAATTACTTTGAAGTATAAAAAGCATTTTTTTAATATTATACGGATCTTACGCATAAAATATATTCTTTTAATTAAAAAACTAAATAATTTTATTATATTTTAAAGTAATTCTACAATTTAAAATTAATTTTGCTCCCCATAAAAATTTGTAATCCAACGCATAATTATTGTACAAATCAAATTTAATGATGTTTTAAATCCCTAGATATCTAAAGTGCACATTTCCAAGATTTCCATTTTGATAGCCTATGAACTCAATCAAGCATTATACATTTCGACACAAACAATAAATTGGTCCTTGGCAGTGTTCTTCTTTCCGCAGTATGGGAATGTAGTGGTCCATTGACTCTCAATCAAGTGAAAATTCCCTCATTTGGAGGAATAGAAAGTAGGCACTAACGTGATACCCAAATTCGGAAATGACAATGAACCTAATCAACCGATACACATTTCGATAGCAACAAGGAATGGATCCTCGACAGTGTACTTCTCTTCGCAGTAGGGGACAATAAGAGACATACAAATAAATTATAAAATAAACTATATATGACGTAGCAAAATAAAATAGTCTAATTTGAAAAAAATTTAAACTTATTATGTTGTTTTTTCCTCTTCCTTCACTACTTTCCGTGCAATGCAGATTTTAACTACTCCATAAAATTCTTATCTGGCTGCTATAATCCATCAAATGGAATTTCAACCATTTTTTTTTTCCTCTTTTGCGCAAGAGTAAAAAAAGTTCAGGGAACAATTTCAACAAGTAAAAAAAGGAGAATCGTATGATATCCCATTTTTGGTATGATATTTCCCATTTTTGGTAAAGTGTCTAAATGTGAAGATAATTGAAGAGGCAATCATCATACTAATTTTAGATGAACTGGGAATAAGAGGAGGTGAAAATGGCACAATTATGATGATGAGAAGATGAATTGACAAGGTTTCTGCAAATTAAGAGATGGAGATGAATAGTGTTTATAAAAGGGAGAATAATGTGAAAATTTTGAAGTCAAAACTTTCTAAGAATGATGTGAAGCTACTTGACTCCTAACATGAATAGGTCATGCTAAGTGTTTATAAAAGGTAGATGAATAGTATATATATATATATATATATATATATATATATATATTGAGGATCCAAATGTTCTTATATACTAAGTGTTCTTAGTTTTATTAAACCATTAATAAGTTAACAGTTCAAGGTCATCTGGCCGGTTCAAAATCCTAATTAATAAAAAAAATTGCGTAAATTTACATAGCAAATAGGACTAATACAAAGTAATAAGAGTTGAGATGAAATCAATCTTAAACAGATAAACAGCGAACTAACTCCTGCTTTGGAAACAAGAGAAAAAAGGAATTGACTCAAATTATTTTCTAAAAATCAATTTTCATGTAAAATAATTCTTAATTTCTATATATCATCATAATTTAAAACGCTCAATTTAACACGTATACTACAAATTTCCTTTTCCAGATTCTGTGTGGCTCATGTGGCATTTGGTGTAAATGTAACCGATTTGGTGAGAGCTTTTGATAAGGAGAACGGGACAAGAGAGGGTCTGCTCTGTTTCAACATGAACGAGCAATTTAACATAATCATATTATATTGGGGGAATTTTAACTATATAAAAATAAATTAATAATAATAAGGAAAGAGAGATAGAAAATATTAATATAAAAAATTATAAAATCATCATTATTAATTTATTTTTTAATAAGTAAGATCCCCCACGATATAATCACGTTAAAAAATTTGAAAGATCTATTTCCAAACCTTTTATTTATTTATTCACCTTAAAATATATTTTTGTTACTACTCTTTTTGCGTGGATAAATCAGTGATAATAATTAATAGGCGAAGGGGGGAAATATTAGAATAAAAAATTTATAAAATTATCACTATTAATTTATTTATTAATAATTAAGATTTTCTCAAAAAAATATAATCATCTCAAATAATTTAAGATATTCATTTCCAAATGTTTTATGTTTGTTCTTTTAAAGAACGTATAACTGTATATTTTAAGTGAGAAAAAAAGATAAATAAAAAATGAGAAAAACTATTCTCATGTTGTATGAGATAAATTTTTTCTCCTACACACTCTTCGATACTTTGTCACTTTTTTCTTTTCTTTTTGTTTTATTTTTTCATGTGGTGGAGCCCAGAAATTTGTCTATATGACATGAGATAACTATCTCCTCTAAAATAAAATTAATAAAACCGATAAAAAATATCATGACGAGAGAAAGTAGATAATTTTTTTTACTTTAAATTTTAATATTAATTTCCATTTAATTTATTCACAGAAAAATGATTTAAAGTTACGATTCGTTATGCGTTTAATTCCATCATCACCGCCTACGCCTTTCATAAGTACCAAACTAACCCTAAACTAAAACCCACGTCCACCCACATTATTCTTTTCCTCCATTTATTTTCGTATATATATATATATACACAAAAACCCTTTAATCCCCTCATTGACGCATCAGAACAAAATGGTTGAAGACGGAGACATAGCACGCGACAACGCCAACGCCACCGCTTCTTCCTTCCACTTTCTCAAGCAATCCAGACGTACAAGTAGGAGAAAGTCGCGCAACAAAGTTTCTCCCCACAATATCAACAACACGCCACCCGAGAAAATCGTGCTTTTGCGCCGGAACATAGCCGTGCCCTTCTCCGGGTTCGGGGCGACGGTCCCGG